CAGCAGCCATGGCCGAGATCTTGATGAGCTCAGTCATACCGCCAACCCACATAACATCGGGTTGGAGAATGTCCAGGTTGCGGCCCTCGATGAGTTTCCTGAAGCCATATCGTGAGTACTCGTGTTCGCCAGTGGTGAACTTCATGCGGGGGTGAGCGCGCTTGATCTGCTCAAAGCCATCTGAGTCGTCAGGCGACAAGCACTCTTCCCACCAGTTCAAGTTGAGGTGCTCGGTGGCCTTGACCACTTCGATGGTGTAGGGTACGTTCAAGCTCATGTAGCAGTCGACCATGAGGGGAAAGTCTGGCCCCACGCTTTCGCGATGCTTGGTAAGGAACTCGACATTCTTCTTCAAGCCTTCGACACCCTCACCAGGGCCGTATGGTAGTGGTACCTTGGCGCCGAAAAAGCCCATTTCCTTTGCCGCCGCTGGCTCGGGACCAGTGCAGTAGAAGTTGAGCCTTTCCCGGGTCGCTCCACCGAGCATCTTGTATACGGGCTCGTTGCGGATGTGGCCGAGCAGATCCCAAATAGCAAGATCGATGACTGAGATGACGGCGACCGGAAGACCCTTGCGGCCGTAGAACATGGACGCACGGTACATTTGCTCGAACATGTGGTTTGTGTCTCTGGGATCTAGCTTGGATCAGAATGAAGACTCGTAGCGTCGCACAACTGGATACTCACCTTGGCCTATTAAGAAGCGCTCAAAGTGCTCAGCGACTAGCCAGCACGCTGGCGGCCCGCCAAAGCCAGTAGCGAAACCCTTGGTGCCGTCACTGGCCTCGAGCTCTACACAGAAAGATCCCAGAACATTGATTCCCCAGCTAGTTCTTGACTTTCGGTACTGCTCATATCCGCTCATGGGGGTGGAGATCTTGCTGTCGATGAGCCAATGTCCGCCAGCGACATTATGGTAGTCTCCGCCGCTGCCGGGGCCCTGTGTTATGAATGTTCGCACGTGTTTGATGGTCGGGAAGGAGCGCGCTGCGCCAGATTCTTCGGTGGAGGGCATGATCACGTTAGGGAGAGGAGTGTGGAATCGACAAAGCAGAAGACCACAGAGTATAGAGGAGGGGTAGATAAGTGCACGGAGGGTCAGAAATGATATTTAAACCGCGGAATAGCGGCGTGCCAGGCTTCGCGTCTGCTCAAGAGGGTCCCTCGGTCCATCTCGCTGCGATTTGCGACGATTTGCGACGACTTTGGAAGAGCCATTGATACCTGGGCTAAGAAGTGGAGCGCGAACGCGTGAATAGGCGTCGCTGTGAGGCGTTCGGCACCCAGGTCGGAATGTGGACAAGGCCGAAGCATGTGTTTTTGCTGACGAGTATTGTACCGAAAAGCCAGCGGCCCACTCGGTGCCACCAATCGAAGGATGCGGAGGGCGCGCTTGCCGGTCTATACGATTTACGATATCTGGGGTAGGGAACTAGAGCGTGCAGGCGGGGCTGCAAGAGTAGAACCCTCGGTGTAGCTCTTCCGAACCTGCACGCCCCCAATCGCATTCGCATTCATCATCATGGACGCCAGCACAACCCACCAGCAGGCGGCAAGTCCAAACGGCACTGCGAAGCTCTCCAACCACTCTCCTGGCGATGCGCAAGACTGGAGTGGTGATGAACGCTCCAGCGACGAAGAAGCCCACGACAGAAGCCAAAGCGGCACGTCGAACAAGCGGAAGCGGCCGCTTTCTGTGAGTTGTGAGACATGCAGTAAGTGTGACACAACAGGATGAGGCTGTTGAGGCTCACCATACGTAGAGCAGCGAAAAGTCAAATGCGACAGAGGCGCGCCTGCCTGTTCCTGGTGCTTGAAGAACCACTCAGCATGCGTCAGTTGCGCCATCCACTGACATCACCCCCAATACTCAATCGCATCAGGTCTACCTTCCGCGCAAGAAGCCCGGCCTGCGCGCTGGCTATGGACGAGAGCTCGAGTCGAGACTTGGTAAGTCGCGCATCTTCACCACCCCGTTCTGGAGTAGCCGAGGTCTGGATAAGCAGACTGAAGTTTGCCGTTATCGCTGGCAAACTTCGCGCGCCCACAGTCATGACAGTGCCCGGGTGGGATTTGATGGAGGTCACGACTGTCGCGCAGCTTGACTAAGCGGGCGCTCCTTCTGTCCGTCAGCCAGAGACCCTACAGGGCAATCGCGACCACAGCTGACAATCGTCCCTTCCCCAGACAAGCTCGAAGCGCTACTCGTCCAGCAGCAGTCGCAAATCAACCATCTTTCCAGCACCCAAGTCGCCACGTCCGGCCCGTCACCCCAAGAGGTAGCCGCGTTCCGAAGCCCGCCCGTCATCCAAACCCCCCATATACCGCGTCCCGAAACGGCCCTCTTCATCCAGAAGCCCACGTTCCCTTCGCAGAGCGCAATACAGAACCAATATGGCAACGGCGTCACGGACAATAGACCCACCCCCTCGGTCACGGGGAATGGCTACCAGTCCGAGGATGTGAGCATGAGCGGTGGCTTGTCCAGGGATGGCTACACACCATACAATGAGCAATACCAGCCGGCCATATCGAGGACTCTCGGTCACGCGGATGCCGACTTCCCACCGTACGACCTTCTATATGGCCTCGTCGATCTTTTCTTCAAGCACATCAACACCTGGTGTCCCATCCTCCACCGCCAGAGCACCCTGAACTCGCTTTTCGGAGACGCGACGCTAGAAGAGGCGGATCGAATCATACTACACGCAGTTGTCGCGACAACTGTCAAGTTCTCTACCGACCAGCGCTTGACTGCCGAGAAGCGCACGCGCTACCATAAGAACTCCAAAGAGAAGGTCTTGCTGTATGGCATCGAGAACAGCTCTGTAAAGTCGTTGCAGGCGCTTGTGATCCTCGCTCTGGACGTTGTTGGCTGCTCCAATGGCCCTCCCGGCTGGAACCTTCTGGCTCTAATTACGCGCTCAGTCGTCCAGCTAGGACTATCAGTCGAAAGCTACTCACCGAGCGTCGCTCCACAATTTGCGTCAATATACACCTTGCGCGCCATGACGCTGCCTGAGCCCAAGGACTGGATCGAAGAAGAGAGCCGACGCCGCCTTTTCTGGATGATCTACGTCTTAGACCGATACGCGACCGTTGCCACGGCTTTCGAATTCGCTCTCGACGAAAAGGAGATCGACCGTCGGTTGCCGTGTCGCGACGACATGTATGCGCGCAACGTGCCCGTCGAGACGCGATGGTTCCACACTTCGACACGATCCGACTACAGCATGAACAGACCAGAAAACCTGGGCTCCTTCTCATACTACGTCGAAGTCCTGGGGATTCTCACACGCATCCACAAGTTCCTCAAGAAGCCTGTAGACATTACATCCTTGTCCGACGTTGAGACCTGGCAAAGCGAGTACCGTGAGCTTGACAATGCCATCGAGCAATGGAAGTACAATCTTCCTCAAGAATTTGGCAACTCTGCGAGATTGTTTGCTAAGCCGGGTATGGGACAGAATTTGGATAGTGGTTTGGTGATGCTCCATGCGGCCTTCCACACGTAAGTTTGTCTTCCCTTTGCCTTAAGGAAGAAACTAACTCTGGCAGCACTGTGATTCGTCTTCACTCATCTGCGGCGTACCCTACCCATCGTTCACCCATCTTCACACCGTCCTTCAGCGCTAGCCAGCGGTGTCTCAGTGCTGTTGAGAATATCACAGCCTTGTGTGCTACCGTACGCGACAACGGTTTGCTGAGCAAACTTGGCCCGCCCTTCGCATTCTCGCTCTGGGTAGCCGCACGTGTTCTCTTGGTCCACGGATCCACCATCGATCACCGAGTCGATCAATCCATCAACCTCCTTGTCAGCACTCTCCAGGACATGGGTCAGTACTGGGAAGTAGGCACGCGCTATGCAAGTCTTCTTTCACGCGTACTTTCCGAATATCAAGAGAGCCAGGACACTCCGGCTGGTGCGAATGGTGAACGCGTAACACCTTCAACCGTAAAGATCCTCGCCGACATGCGACGATGTGCATTCGATCTCGACTTCCTCATATCCCGCCAACCCAAGCTCAGCAACAAACAAAATCTGAAGATACCATCGGTGACTCCAGCTCGAACACCTGCAGCGAATGAGCTAGAGTATCTCGATGTGTTCGACTTCTTCAACATGCCTCGACTCCCTGTGTCGATAGACGGAGCCATGAGTTACCCTGCGCCAGACGGCAACATCCAATTGCCAGACGGCGGGTTTGGAAACGAGTCGAACATTACCAATTACATGGTTGATGCGAGCTCAGATTGGTTTATGAAGCAGTCGGCATAATATTTCTTTTTGTGTCTTGGGTGCACGGAAAATGGACTGTAAAAGTTGGCTGATCTTTCGGTACATAATAATGCGTTCTGGACCCTGTTCATAGTCTTGTCCATACAATCTCTCCCTACTTTGAATGATACCCTATTTTATCTCCAACAGACTTATCTAGCTCATCACCAGTGATCCATGCATGCAATGAGTCCAAGGAGCTCGACGTTCAGGACCGTACCTGGGCGTGGTTTGTAGTGTACGCTTGTCCGGAACCGCTCATTCCGATCGGAATGCCATCGGTGCGTTATCTGCATCCTCGCTCGACCTCTGTAATCGACACTTGACAACACATCTCACTGATCAAGCAATACTGTCATTCAATTCAGTGTGATCTACGCGACTACTTACATGCTCCATCAAGCTTGCGTCGATTTGGTTCTTGTACAATACCGTGTATAAGACAGTCGCCGTTTACCGTCGGAATAGGCTGGTGAGACTCGGGATAGCGTACAAGGTATGGGTGAATCTTACTCCGCTGCACCGAATGTATGATAGAGATGAGTCATTGACATTCATACAGCTTCGTATATAGCTTCGTGCAACGCTTGAGCATTTGATACTCCAACTAGGTTCAACGAAGAACTTGCATTTCGGCCTGGATATCATCGAAGCATTCCATTATTAACATCCTTAAACATATCCCATATCGAAGCTATCTATTATCATCCAACCACCCATCATGGCTTCCCAAAAAGACCAACAACACATCCTCATCCTCGGTGCCGGCGTAATCGGTCTAACAACCTCACTCGTCATATCACACACCTACCCTACCGCCAAGATAACCGTAGTAGCAAAGCACTTCCCCGGAGACCGCTCCATAGAATACACATCGCCCTGGGCGGGCGCCAACTGGTCCTCCATGGCCCACGACAACGGGCCGCTGGAGAAGTACGACGAGGTCACCTTCCACCGTTTCGGCGAGCTTATCGACGGGAAGAGTGTGTTTGGTTGTCAGACGCTTAAGGCTGGTGAGACGGAAGGCGTCGATGGGGTGAATGGAGGAGGGAATGAAGCGGGGTTAGGGAGAATGGGTATGTGGGCTGCGTTCGATGAGCCGATTGAAGAGGCGGGTGTTTTGACTGAGGAGACGGGCAAGGTGTGGTATGATCAGTTAGTAGGCGGGTTAAGGCAGTTGGATGGAAGTGAATTGCCCAAGGGAGCGAACTTTGGGTTCGAGTTCCCAAGTACGTTCAGGATCAACACGCAAGTGTATCTGCAGTGGTACGTATGCCTGATCCTCATTCCTATGATGCAAAGTCCTAGCTTCAGTGCCATTGATACTTCGCAAGACTGATATTGTACCAGGCTCCAAGCTCAAGCTTTGTGCAAAGGCATCAGTCTCGTACGCCGACACTACCCTTCCGTCTCAGAAGTCCTAAGCGACCACCCGTCCACCACCCTTCTGGTAAACTGCACCGGTCTCGGCTCCCTCAAACTCTCCGACATCAAAGACACGAATCTATACCCAACACGTGGTCAAACACTACTGGTCGCTGAACCCAAAATACCAATCACCAGAATGTATGAAATGGAACGAGTCAAGTACGACCATGCTATCCTACTTGTCTTCCTCCGCCCCAGACCGAACTATTTTCTGTGTATCCATTTTGACTAACGAACCAAACTAGGTCTTTCCGCTCTCCAAAGCGCATCGATCCCACAACAACCTACGTCTTCCCCCGTCCGCTAGGCGGCGGCGTGATTCTAGGTGGCAGTCGACAGGACAACGATTGGAGCGAAGAGTGGGATGAGGAACTCGGTCAGGATATCATGAAGCGGTGCTGTGAGTTGTGTCCTGAGTTGGGGAAGCCGGAGGATCTGCAGGTTATTGGGCGGAATGTGGGCTTGAGGCGTAAGTATCATCGTGCGAGTCATTTCACGGGGGCTGGCTGACAGTATCTAGCGTCGCGCAAGGGCGGCCCAAGGATCGAGACGGAAATGGGCAAGTGGAAGGTCCCGGTTGTGCATTGCTATGGACATGCTGGTGCGGGGTATCAGTCTTCGTGGTGAGTACCCTGAAGCTCGTCTGTGTCGACAGTACAGTACTAATGTTTCTCGCAGGGGCACCGCCGAGCGTGTCCTTGAGCTCGTTCAGAAGACGCTGACGCCCAGCTCAAAGCTATAATCGCTGCATCGGATACTCTTAGCCGATTCAAACCAGGGTTGACTCCACCCAGCCAACTATCATTCCAACTCCACTCTTGCTTAGCTCACATCTTCTCCTCTTTCCTCCCCTCATCCCTACTATTCCACTCCCGATCAAAAACCTGCAAACTCCTCTGCGCAGTAGGCACGACATCCAACGCCTTCACACTAACCCTGTCCTTCTGACTCAGCATGAAAGCTGCAGCTTCCGCAACATCAGGCGCAACAAGAGGCTCGAAGCCAGACATGAAAGTGTCGTAGCTCTGCTTTTCGTATCCAACACTGCATGTTTTGTCAGCTCGGAACTCCACCGCAGCGCTGATACAATGAAGAAGGGAATAAAGCCATACCGTTGTTCATGGAAGTTCGTCGCTACAACACCGGGCCGTAAGGCGAGGACTTTGATATCAGTACCCACTAACTCCGTTCTCAGCACGTTTGTGAAAGCCTCCTGGCACGCCTTGCTAGCATGGTAGACCGCCTCGCCTGGGAAAGGCGGTACCTCTAGACCTGTGGTGCTAGTCACGTTCAGAATCGTTCCCTTCCCACGCTCCTTCATCTTTCCCTCGTTCAAAACCGTATAAGCAGCGAACATGTACCCATTGATGTTGGTGCTCGTCATTGTAATGATGTCTTGGATCTTGAGGTCAGGGAAACGTGACGGCGCACCTATAGCCAAACCGGCGTTGTTGATTAGAACATCGATGTGGGAGACTTGCTGGACGATGTTCGAGACGGCGGTGCTGAGAGATGTGTGGTCTTGTACGTCGACGACTGATGTGAAGATCTTCAAGTCTTTGTGTTCTTTTTTGAGTTCGTCGGAGAGTGCCTTTAGCTTGTCGTCTGAGCGTGCAAAGAGGATGAGTGTTGCGCTTTCAGCGGCTAGTCGACGTGCGATGGCTGCGCCGATGCCCATCGAAGCCCCTGTGATGAGGACGGTTTGGTCTTTGAGTGACATGGTAAGGGATAGTAGTATGAGGATGAGATGGACGGATGGATTGAGATAACAGTTCACTTGATGTGAACCCTCGGGACTGTTTTGTTACGACTGACCGTGAGAAGACGATGAGAATGACAGTGATTACACAGGGAGTACATGTGCGGAGGATGAACATGCTAGTAGGCTTTCGGTGGAGCAAGAATGACGTCATCAGCATCGCATTTGTCATCTACGAATGGTGTCCGATGTGTATAACACGTTGCATTGGGTGTGTAGTAAATATAGTCCATAAGGGTATCTCTGTAAATAATCATTCTGATAGCGTGAGTCATGTAGCAAATCAAAGGTCTCAGGCGTTGACTTACAATTCGTATCTGGCATTGCCATCGCAGCGCGAGTCCGTATCTTGTGAAGAGCGCAACTTCCAGTCGCTTATGCTTATGAGCTTTAGACTTGAAATAGTCGAGGCATATCGAAGAGTGCTGTTGGCAGTTCGGTCGAAATCATCAACCATCCCACCTCTGCGCCTCTTTGTTGTAGCCGATGAGCTTGAGGTCGATGTTAAGGGTCTTGAGCATCATGTCCATCGTGAAAGACTGCTTCAACGTTAGCATAGTAACTTGTATGTACACATCCGTGCACTCACATCGTCGTCTGCTCCCTTGAACGTCTCCTTCTCCACCTCTCCTTTGTCCCTCTCCGAGTCCATCTCGGCATAGCGATCATACGCCTCTTCAGAGACCTCACCACTCTCTTTCGCCTCCTCCATCTTCTCACGTTCCGCTTCCATCTCTTCTTTATCCCATTGCATCTGCCGTTCCTTGGATTCTTTTTCACGTTCCTTCCATGCGCCTACCCCGCCCATCCTGTTGACCCTGTCTCTAGTGCTACCAAACAGCTCTTCCGCCGCCGCACGACTTGCTGTGCGCCATTTATCGACCAGTACGACCAGGTCGTCATCCTTTGTAGACGTAGCCAGGGTCTGAGCTTGTGTAAGCATCTGGATCTCATTGCGGATCTGCATGATCTCGCGTGCGACCGAGGGTTTCGATGGTGCCTTCTTCGACGCGACACGTGACGGGGTAGATAGGTTCGGACGTGAGACGAGAGGTTTCGAGACGCGTGGTGTCACTTTGGACGTTGCTGGTGTTTTGGGGGGTTGCATAGAGGCGGTAGAGGTGGCCGGTTGCTGTGCGCCATTATCTGTAGGGACGGTGCTTCTAGCAGGAGCGATGGTTGTCCTAGGTGTATCAAGCGCAGGAGTGTGGACCTCAGGCGGATCTGAGGATGGCGGGTCGTCGCCTATGCTGGGCTTCAACGGTGTGCGGAACGGCGATTTGAACGGCTTCTGGAGCGTTTTCGTGGCTTCGTTCAGCCGGCGACGTTTCGCTTGCGGGGTCGACATCTTCGCGGGTGTTTGGGCATTGGTGTGGGTGGTCAATTCTCGAAGTGGGGGGTGGTGAGTGTCTTGGGACTGGCGATGTCATCCGTCGCTTCTGATTTCGGAGGGTCTGACGCGTCGCGCTAGAGCCTCGTCATCACGTGTATATCAGGGCGTCTTTTCTTGGAACTGACGACCGGCAGCTCTATTGAACGAGGCAGGTACGAAAATTATACGCGTTTCATGATAGACTTAATCTTTTAAAAGCACGAAGGTCGTATTGTGATAAGCACGATGATCTAAGCATACACATAGCACAGCGGCCCCGAGGTAGTAGAGAAGAACTCCTTGCTCGCGATGTGGTTCTGACCTGGCGGCGCCACCACATCCAACTCCTGCTGATCTGTCGGTTTACCCTTGGGACTGTTGGGAATTGACCAATGAGTGCCGCCTTCGTACATGCTTGTGCGAGATTTAACCTCCTTCTCCTGATACATGGCCCACATCCACCAGTGCCTGTCCAGCTGACCATGGTGCAGCCAGAAGGCTGGCTCCGCAGGGCTCACATAGACATCGCCTCCAGGATCACCCCAGATAGAGAAGTGACCGCCAATGTGCAGCGCTGAAAGGCTGTTCGTCGCGTTGGTCTGGAGTGTGTCCTGGAAGGTACCAATGGCTTTATTGATGGTGATATGGAACAGAAGATCTTGAGGCCGGAGGTAGCGCTCGGTGAAGAAGTTGCTTACGTCGCGACGGTGACAGCGTGGATTGTCACCATAGCCATCGGCGCGTGGGTTTGGTGGGATGTTGAGTTTAGGGTCCATTGTGGGCGCGAGGGGACCAAGACGAATGGTCAAATTGGTGAAGGGACCTTTACTGATACAGCCTCCTCCCGGTCCACCAGGAAGCGTCTCACCCGGCCATAGACTCATGCCTGCATGCGGTCCGATTGGATCACCATTCCCACCCATGCTCCATTCGTCGCCGTTGAAGATGGGGCTGTTAACGAGATCGGTGTACTTGGCCCAGTTCCAGTAGGGTCTGTGATGAGTAGCTGAGGTTAGTGTATGCTTTACACAAGATCTACAGAAGAATACTCACTGGTAGCCTTTGTAGCCACATTCCGTGCGAAGCGCTGTTTCGTAGGCCCATATGTAGTAACGGTGCCAGTGCATGAAGTTTGCGGTGGCGTGAACCGTCGGTGTCATGTTCATATGCACCACAACAAAGTCTTCATAGCGAGACTTTGCTCCAGGATATTGACCAGCAGGAAGTTTGGAGGGCGCCTTGAGCATGCAATTGACGGCCGTGGTGTATGCTTTCCGTTCCTCTTTCGTGAGGTCGCCGCTATCATGTGTTAGCATCATGCCCGTGGCAGTGCCCGAACTAACTTACAACTCCTTGCGTACAGCAACAGTGTCCTTGTTACATGTCGCAGGCCTCGTCAGACCGTCTGACAGCGTCCCATTCAGTACCTTGTATGCATTTGCGAGAGCTTGCTTCTGGACGCCGTCGAGGGTAAGCGTGTCTTGCCTCTGAGTAAAAGGAGATGCTGAAGCGCTAGAGAACAGAGACAGAGATGCCACAAGGGCTTTGACAACCGCAATGCCTGCCATCGATTGATTTCTGGCGATCCAGTTAAGTGCGAATATCAACGCTTTTATGCCGAGGACCATGATCAGCCTCCTTCTCCAATGCAGGCCAACATCAACCGTGCCATACTACTGCATGTGCTGGGTCATTTATTTAGAGGGTTGCCCGACGTGGGGCGAAGTTCTACAAAGCTCTGCTGTAATGAACACCCTTGGCATGCAACACACGTACCGACGAAATACTGCTGTGCAAGGGTGTTCCAATATCATGACTATCTCAACGAACAGCCATTCCTGTTCATGGGGTCTGCAGCATGCCATTCATGGTGGCCACGAGTGGTCACAGAGTCCATACTTTTGATGTCCAAGACCTGAGCTGCATCTGACCGCGTTGATGAGCGGCAGTCAACTGGAAGCGGTCAGCATCCTTGTATGCAATGTAAGGCGCCTGGTCAGGACTGTGAAATCAACTCCGATTTACTTTGAGATCGAGCTTTCCCCGTAATAAGCTCTAAAGGTTGTTTCTGTTGTGCGATGGCGAAGACCCTCGTGATACCTCGTCTCTTAGGTTGAAAGTGTCGAAAGCTACAAACAGGTTCAGACCAAGCGCCCGAAGCTCTTGATGTTCGTGGTCAGCGTACAAGTATGTGCCATTGGCAACAGGAAGATCGTCGTTGCCGTTATTCATCCCTTGCAAGCCAGATAGTCCCAACCGGACAATATGGCGTATGTAATACCGGCTATGATACCCCTGGTGTTCGGTAGGATTCTGCCGGGCGCAAGGTGTGTTTGCCAAGCTTGTACATGTTTCGATGAAACTGTAGGACATCAACATTGATTACTACTCAGTACACCTGAGGTGGTGGTATTCGTCAGCTGCGCCACGTAATTCTGCATCGAGGCATTCGCAAGGAGATGCGCGATACCTCATATAATGCACAGCGCGGCAGACTCTCCGGTAGTGTTCGCGTGTATGGAGGCGCATGGCGCTTGCTGAAAATGCATGCCGACGGAGGCTTCCATCAACTTCGCGCCATGCGTAAGAAGCCGGCCATTTATCTTCTCGT